TTTTTTTTTCTGCTGAAACATTACCACACAACCGAGTTAGAGTTGAACGTCTTTTTGTTTTTCAGCTTTGCATATTCTAAAACACCACTCCCAGCGTACATCTATTGCCATTGGACTAAAATTCTTTTAGGCGGACTAGTAGTCATTTGATTTGAAACTTACGTAAGTTTATTTCAATATGTTAGTTTTATTGTCAGGATTGCATTTTTGCCCATTCTTGTATTTATATTGGTGAATCTTATGTTCAGACCATCTTTTGGGTGCTAGGTGTCATAAATTTTAATTTTAACTAAACAAAGTCAATTCTTCTTGCGTAACCGACAAAAAGGTCTATAGGTATTTTGTGCGCATGAAAAGTAATGGAAGTTGAAGTGTTCGGAGCGTTACACAAAGATTAGCCACTGTTGAGGTCTCAACTGAACTAATATACAGGAGTTTGGCATTATTCATGCTTGCGAGTGAGTTACTTAAACTTCATCATGTGCAAAGAGATCGAAACCCAGTTAGACTTATGATTTTGAAGATGTAAAATTGGTGAGGATTTGAAGAATTGTTTTACACTTCCTTTATTTCGAATGTAGACATAAGGCTACTGTTCGATCCGTGATCAATCTTTACTCGACTGCCAAGGTGGAAATAGTCAGTCTTGAAAACTTAGCTTGCTTTTGCAATTTTGTCCGGTAAAGATCTAAGGTTTCAGCAGGAGAGTATATGTAGATTCTATAAAGTGGCGGATTTCGATGGCTGTATATCAGAGGTGAAAGTTGAAAACGGATGAACTGATGGTAGTGAGTAAATGGAGACGAAACTCTGCGACAAAAGCAGTGTGAAGGACAGCAGTTTGTTCAAGGCCACATCACAGCTGATACCTGCGCCCTTGCAATCGCTAGTTTACACTTTTATGCACACACACACGGAAGACAGGAGCGTTGCGCCGTTTTTCCTCCGACTTTCTCACTCCACGCAGCAGTACTAACACACATCATGAATGCTGTGAGAATTGAAAACGGTTTGAGATTAATGATGTTAATCAGCAGTATTTGCCTCTGCTCAAAGACAGTGTTTTCAGAGTCACAAAATTAGCTTTTGCGGACCTCGAAAGCCCATAATCTTGACCCCAGAATTGAAATGGAGAAATACCTCTAAGATTTCGAAGTGGACCTTGAAGGACCACAAATCGATGACAACAAGGATTGAAGAATTCAAAAAGGTTTTAAAATAATATCAATAAGTCACTGAGAACAAATACGTTGAAGGGGGATACGTTACGCTTTTCATTAGCCCAAGTAACGTCCAACATAACTGGTACCACTTTTGTTGATATTTAGGCCAGCCAGAGAGAATCTGTAAGGCGAGACAGCACCATGGTCAATGAAAACAGTAAGAATGCCGGCGCCAAAATTCCCTGCAGACAAAAAAACGTTTATTTTGAAAGAGCGACAGACAATGATAGATTACTACGGGACGCTGACGCAATTCCCATCTGCCTATAAAATCGACGAGGTGTTCTCTCATGAGCCCACAATTTAAAGCTACGAATTTATTAAATTACTTTTAGAAACTTTGATAGTCAACGTTCGCTCCAGACGCCAACTGTGTTGCTTATTAGAAAGAGCCGCGACAGACAAACGTCTGCAAATGCATTGGCCGTTACCTGATTTGGGCACTGAGAGAAAGACTCGAAATGCTTGCAGATTATTCTCGTTCTTTAAAGCGGTTGAGGTAACGCAAATGGGCCTGAGATTTGTATTTACCTAAATGTGGGTAATTCAACAAGGCCTGTCACTGGAAGAATCTCATGCATTGCAAAAGCTTTATGCACAATTGTGCATAACAGTATGCACAATTTTTGAGTTTTTAATGATTGCAATCCTTCCTGAATTTTATCCTCATGTAGTGGACTACAAGCCCACTATGGGTTAATTCGTGACTTACAGCGAGCGCATCCAACTGTGGTATTTGCTGTACGCTTAAAATAAAAACAACTGGGTAGTGACGCATTTATTAATGCAATCAAAGAGGATGATCATTTTAGTCAGGATTACTTTCTGGGTCCTCTCATTGCTTCAAAACTTCCCAATCGAGAGGAATTAGAATAAGTTTCCGCATTTCTAACCATTATATGACTTTAACAACTGCGAGCCGTGCTCAGATAGCCGTCTTCCCTGACAATTCTGAAGAGCGTTGCTGCCTTAGTGATGCCGAGTTTGTAGGCAAGGTTCGGTGTATGCCAGCTCTGGTCCAATTACTTGTCCTCCTGATAGCCGTTCAAGATAGTTCATTTCTGCTTAATCGGCTGGTCCCACAAAGGCACAAATTCAACGTTTACACACAGCCATGATTTTAACAAAGTTAATTTGGACCATACAGATCACAACTTTAAACTGTGCCGTCCTCCTTCTCACTGCATCCTTGGCAAATGGTGATGAGGCGATGACGTGTATTGTTTGTTATCCTTAATGCTCAAAAGGGCGGAGATTTTTACTCACATTAATGTTTCATTCCTTGACTGAAAAGGGCCCTTCGTAAAGTAAGAATTTCCAATATTAACTGCAAACACTAGGATAAATATCCTCAGTATGCGTGTGTGTATGGCTGTTCAGTGGGGGTACTGTGAAAGAGTAAAGTGGACCTGGAGAAGAGCAAATCACTGCAGCTCAACGTCAAAGTCGTTTTGAGCGGTGGCCCTAAGCAGTTAATCGTTAGATTGAGAAAAATCTGAAATCGTTTTTAGAATATTTGGACTTCATTAAAATAGGCTCAAAGAGGAGGTTTTTTGCCGTTTTAAAATTCGACTGTAATAGCAGGGATAAATCCATAAATAGAGGCTTTTTTCATTTATTACATGCAAGAGCAACTGTCAATGTGAGAACACATTAATTTTATTTGAAAGATGTTTCACCTTTACCGTATTGATAGTGACTGACCAGAACCATCCTACTGTCCCAATATTAAGAACGGACTCCCATCAAACTAATTCACTTTATTTAGGTATTGTAACATAGTAAACCCATCGCATTCTCCCATTTAGGGTGCAAACATCTTGCTTCAAGCTCTCCCTTTCCACTCACGAGTTCAACTTTTCCAAAAGAGCTATGCGCTCCTTGACCCTGGTGGGTATGGCAAGGTTGCCTTAGCTCTGCGTTGTCAAACCACCAGCGGCTATACAAGATGATCACTGTAAAAATTTACCCTTGAACAAAGCACTCGCGAAACAACTCTGTGGCTCATGATTGATCCAGTGCTGCGACATTACAAAGGCAACAAAGCGTGACAAGTGCCTTTGGCATTGTTGCGTTCACCAGCGCAAACCCTTGAAACCGCTGCATGAGTGCACATCAAAAACGTTATCCTGATTGTGCCCGCTAAAAGTTGTGTTGTCTTTACAACGACAAAAGCATTGTGACACTGGTGCGAAGAGTTACAAACTTTTTTATTAGCGTTTATGTTTTGACTTGCTTGCATAAATTACCCTTAAACTCCAAGGCCTCTATTCACTTCTAGTTTGTCGGGGAGAACAACACACGCTAACAAAAATATACACAACAGCTTGACCGGTCTAAGATCTCGGCTGTACCCTAAACGATGTACTTGCTCCTTGGTTGACCAGTTTAACCGACCCAAATATATGTAAAGGTTCAAAAATGTGTACTCAGGACTGCTAAAATAGTGAGGCTTGTCTGTTTGGTTTACGGTGAAGTTCAAAGTTATTAACTTAAAGCGTTTACATGGCACTCAGCTTAGGGCTTTGTCTGTAGAGAAAAAAGACTGACGAAGGAGTATCTTTCATACGTTTTTAAGGATGAAAATTGTAAGCAAATGG